CCCCCCCTCCCATCTGGCAACCATCAAAATGTTCTCTATCTATGGGTCTGTTTCTGTTCTGCTTGTTTGTTCATTTTGTTCTTTATATTCCACATATAAGTGAAGTCATCTGGCATTTGTCTTCCTCTGTCTGACTCATTTCACTCAGCATAATACCATCAAGGTTCATCCAGGGTGGTGCAGGTGGCAGCATTTCATCTTCTTTATGGCTGGGTAATATCCCATTGTGTATATGCACCACTTCTTCATCCACTCATCTGTTGATGAACACTTAGGGTGCTTCCATATCTTGCCTATTGTAAATAATATGTGTTTCGATTTAGTGTTTTGGGTTTCTTTGGATAAATACCCCGAAGTGGAATTGCTGGATCCTTCTTTGTCTCTTATTATATAGCCTTTGTTTTAAAGTCTATTTTATCTGTTGTAAGTGTTGCTACCTCAGCTTTTTCTGTGTATCCATTTTCATGAAATATCTTTTTCTATCCCTTTACTTTCAGTTTGTATGTGTCTTTCCATCTGATGTGAGCTGGGGAGACTTTGATCATTTTTGTTTTAGGTGTATCACCATTATCCCATGTTTCCCCTTCTTTACTCTGGTCCAGCAAGACCATCTTTTCATAAACAAAATCAGTGATTAAGGCGCATCCCAATATAATCCTTTTATTTTAGTTTATCCTATTTGAGAACAAGATTCATCCTGGAAATGATAAAACTTAGAGGTTTTGAATTATTACACAAACTAGAGGCCTGGTGCACGAAATTTGTGCATGGGGGTCTGTGTCCCTCAGCCCAGCCTGCACCCTCTCCAATCTGGGACCCCTCGAGGGATGTCCGACTGCCCAGTTAGGCCCGATCCCACCTCAATCCAGGACTGCTGGCTCCCAACTGCTCACCTGCCTGCCTGCCTGATTGCCCTTAACCGCTTCTGCCTGCCAGTCTGATCACCCCCCAACTTCCCTCCCCTGCTGGCCCGGTCACCCCTAACTTCCCTCTCCCTTTTGTTGGTCACCCCTAACTGCCCTCCCTTGCCAGCCCAATTGCCCCTAACTGCCCTCCCCTGCAGGCCTGGGTCCCCCCCAACTGCCCTCTCCTGTAGGCCTGATTGCCCCCAACTATCTTCCCCTGCAGGCCTAGTTCTCCCCAACTGCCCTCCCCTGCCAGCCTGATCACCCACAACTGCCCTCCCCTGTAGGCCTGATCGCCCACAATTGCCCTCCTCTGCTGGCCATCTTGTGTCCACATGGGGGCGGCCATCTTGTGTTGGAGTGACAGTCAATTTGCATATTACCACTTTATTAGATAGGATAACAACTATGGATAATGATCCTCCTCCTCTGGGGGAATCATTATTTGCTTGGTTGTTTATTTCCCCTGCAGTATGCTATCTTTTATTCAAGCTACCTGATTGTCCCTGAGTCACCATAACACATTTACTGGTCAGTAAGATCTTAACCTTCACTATTGGTTGTGTGTGTGCTTAGAAGCCACTAACATATTTTAGGGAATTTACTTTTGACTGATGTTCAGCCAGGGACTTGTAGCATGGTGATTCCTTTTCTGTTCTGAGAAGGCACAGCCTTGGTCATACACATTGCCTTCCAGATTGCCAGGGATGAGTGTGATATTATTTTTAGGCCTGTGTTTCTAGGAGTCACCTCTGGAGCAGAGCAACATTTTGCTCAGTTTGGCAAAGTTTCTTGTGCCAGCAAACTTATTGCCCTGTGTGGGAACCATGACACCCTGTGTTACAGATCTGCATGTATTGGAAATGCTTTTAAGTCTGTCTCACATTCTGCTTTTATGTCCTGAGTGTGGGTCCACTTATACAGATTATGCTGTTCAAGAGGCAACTGTATTTTTTAATATAATATCTGAGTGGAAATGTAGTCCAGCAAAAAGAGAAATGGACTGGGTGTTCAGGAGCCAGAGTTTTCATTCCAGCATGGTCTCTAGCAAGCTCAGTGATTTCTTCTGAAGTTCAGTTTCCACATTTGTAGAAGTAAATTGATTAAAGGGCCTCTAAATTCCTTCCAACTCTAAAATCCTATGATTTTATGAAATAGAAATTGAACAAGAAATATGGAAATAACTTGCTGCCTTTTAAAAAAATATTTTTATTGATTTCAGAGAGGAAGGGAGAGGGAGAGAGATAGAAACATCAATGATGAGAATCATTGATTGGCTGCCTCCTGCACGCCCCCTACTGAGGACTGAGCCAGCAACCCAGGCATGTGCCCTGACCGGGAATCGAATGATGACCTCCAGGTTCATAGGTCGAAGCTCAACCACTGAGCAACCCTGGCTGGGCTTTGCTGCCTTTTTATTTTTATTTTCTTTTATTTTATTAATATATTTTATTGATTTTTTACAGAGAGGAAGGGAGAGGGATAGACAGGTAGAAACATCGATAAGAGAGAAACATCGATCAGCTGCCTCCTGCACACTCCCCACTGGGGATGTGCCCGCAACCAAGGCACATACCCTCGACTGGAATCGAACCTGGGACCCTTCAGTCCGCAGGCCGACGCTCTACCCACTGAGCCAAACTAGTCAGGGCCCTGCTGCCTTTTTAAAATAAAAAATGTTCTAACCTGTTATGTAACTAGAACATATTTCATTTCAACTGCCTCTCACTAGTCAAAATGCTAATTTAATGAATGGTTTGCAGTTAAGACATTTCTCCACCCCAAAAGTTTCCTTCTTGACCATTAAGAACAGAAACTCTGGGCAACAAAAAGTTGCCTTTCACTGATTTGTAATAAAAAAAGTATGACAGCTCAATTCTAAGAGAAAAAAGTATAATTTGTTACCTTTTAAGCCATATTATAAGCTATCCAAGCAATTAATTTCTTTCTGAAATAATTCCAAGTTTTCACCTTCTGAATAAGACTGTAAGGCAATACTCCCAGTGCCTATTAATTATCTGTACTTATTTTAAGTGTGTGAGGGACAAAATTTCAATTCTGCCTGTGCATTGCAAAAAAAGTTGCTTTATTGGGACACGCAATGCTGATTATCTGCACATACTGCTGTAAGAGCAAACTGTCATTAAGGGCCTCTCTTGCTACTCTGAACTAATTTTGTCTTAACTAATCAGTTTCAACCAGCTTCTTTGACTTAATATTGTCACTTAATACCATTACATTCAAAATCTACATACTTAATGCAGAGAGAAAATGAACCTTAATCTATAATTTAAGAAAGCTGCCATTACAAACATTCAAATGCTTGCAACTACTAATCCACAACAAAAGTCCTATGATAAAGCTACAAGGTTGGAGAATTATGTATATACACTGGCAAAAGTTGCTACTTACTGACACAGCCAGCAATTAGGAAATACGGCAGTATGGTCAAAGTGATCCAAAATAAGGAATCATATAATCTTGAACTATCTTGTCTTTAAAGTAAAATATATTTTTGAACTAGCCATCTTTACAAACTGAGCTTTGTCAGTATCTAAAGGGAAAGGCAAAATATTTATCTTAGGGTATATAAAAGGTACAAATCCCTGAAGAAAAGTAAATACATACTGTGAGCTTGTCCAAATGCTAAGATTTCTTTCTGTTTCTAAGAATGACCCTCAATTTCCAAATGAGGTTATGTGCTCACCAAGTTATTCCTATGTTAAAAACCTTCAAGAAGACATCTGGCCCATTTTTTATGATCCCAAATTACCTCGCTTTCAATTTAATTTTTGTAAACTGGAATTCCCTTATGAAGAAAGTAAATGTTTAAAATAATGGGATGAGATAAAACCCTATCATCATGCTCCATTTTAAGAGCCTCTTTTTCAAAACTCCAACTTATCCCAATACATAACAAACTATGTTGCAGCCCAGCCACTGTGGCTCAGTGGTTGAGCATCAACCTATGAATCTGGAGGTCACGGTTCGATTCCATGTCAGGGCACATGCCCAGGTACTAGGCTCGATCCCCAGGAGGGGATATGCAGGAAGCAGCCAATCAGTGATTCACTCTCATCATTGATGTTTCTAGCTCTCTCACCTTCCTTCCACTCTGAAATCAATAAAAATATATTTTAAAAAAACTATGTTGCAGTACTGATTTGCAAAATTTATACACTTTATCCTTTTGTGTAATATTGTAATGTAATTATACTAAAAGCTCTTTTTCTAGCCATTTCTTCTGAATCATCCTAGAAAACTTTTCTTTCATTTTAATTAGTCTATTATTTCACTGTAAGGAATCACCTTAATATGATGAAGAGAAAAATATTTAAGATTTAGTTATGACCCCTAAAAAATCTGTGTGTTTCAGGTAACTTTTTATTAGCTGAAAATATTGGTTAATGACCACAATGACCCAATGGTCTAGAAACCACTTCCAATCATATGGAAAAAAAAATACTTCAAAACCCTTACTGGGGAAATTACCCCCAACCTAAAAACATTCCTATTTTTCTTTGACTAAATGTTTTTGACTAAATGTTTCACACATTGCAGAATCACTTACTCTGAATATCACTATTCACACTCAAAATGAATATTTCTGATGGCTACTTCAATTTTACCTGCTTGATTATACAGCTAGCTAAATCTTTTCCATCAGCATCATTGAAAATGTATAGAAGGAGTTAACAGAAACAAAATTTCTATCTAGAATAAGCACATTTCTAGTAATACAGCTGATTTGTTTAAAGGAATTGCTTTTTTTTCCCTTCAGAAGAGTAATAATGTCTATGGCTTCAAATTAAGAAATGTTCATTCCTCCCCCCATTTTTCAGTTGATTATGCATCTCAGTATTAAACAACTTCAAAAGCAAGATCCTGCATCACTTACTCTGATGTCAAAGACTAATCATGAAATACTGGTTGCAAGCCACTTGTCAAATTGCCTTTATATAACAAAACTGGATACTCAAGTTAGATAAGTATCCACCCACAAATGAATATACAAAACAAGGAAACATTAGTCTCACCCACACAAAATTATCATTTAAAACACACTAACCCATAAACCAATAAAATAACTACTTTAAAACTTTTTCTGATAAATAAAGGCTCATAATATAGTCATGTGGTTGGTCATGAAATACAGTTTCTCAAACTGAATGATTACTACCAAACAAATGAAAGCAAATTCAAATTATAAGAGAGAAGAGCTTTCTCAGTGAACAAATATCAATATTTTATTAATTATTTCCAGCAGGTAAAACTTGAATATTTCATTTGGGCTCCTCCTGTTAAATCAAGCTTAAAGGGACTCATTAAATTACTGAAAAAGAGGAGATGTTGAAATAAAGTAACTCTGAAGTGTCAATACAGATTAGAGTCCTGTTCATCTAACCCTCTCCTATTTATCTAAAGGTCTCTAAGAATGTTTAAGTGGATGTTGCTATATTCACGTGTGAACGTGTGCACACACACACATGCATGCACATATCTCATTTATTTGTTTCTTTGTGTAACTTCAGATAACAAAAGCAGTATATTTAAGATGGAAACAGAAAAAGCTATTAACTTCCGAGGCTATTACTGCCAGTATGGCAAATATCAAATTATATCAGGGTTCTTTAGTCTTTAAAGAGAAATATATAAATTTTGGTCCAAAACAAAAGCAGTATCTTATTTTGGTGGAAAAAAAATAAAATTCTCACCACTAGATGATAGTTATAATGCTGGTTAATGATGAAGAACATTCTATATTAACTAACACGAGAATTGAGGTTTTTCCTCAAAAAGGTTATAGTGGAAAACACTTTAAACATGTAAGTATAGATATCTATCATAGAATTATTTCAATGGAGGTTGCAGAAAAGAAAAACAATGAACCTTACTGTCCTCTTTTTTTAATAAAAACAAACAGACATTTTCCACCGAAATTGTCAGCATAAAGGAGGTTTTAAAAACTATAAAAATTTGGAACCAATCCGATTCATCTGGTTGTGAATATCATCAAATGGCTCTCAGGCCTCAAAAATGGAAATGGGATAAAGTCAGATAGTAACAAAAATAATGATTTGAGCAAAGTGAAGGCAGTAACAAGAAAATAATTTGGGGCTAAATATAGTTTAAGAGTTTGTAAAAGATATAAAACTCAAATCCACTTTCAAATAAATCTTATCTAAAAGAAGGAGTATGGATAATGGGAATATATAATTTTTTAATGAAACAATTTTGCTTCAGTGCAAATGTATAGTCAAAAAAAAAAATAAAAAGGAAATGTCTCATGTGACTTAGCAAGAACAGTTTCCACAGCCTTTCACACTGTTCACAATTTCTTCTTGTAGTCTCTTCCTTTCCTCCTCTTTGGATACATTTTCTTTCTTTGCATGCCATTTGGAGTTATCAAGGTTCTGCACATGGCTGCTCTGTGTATGCCACATTTCTGAATAGATACTGCCAGGATTAGCAAGCAAACCATGATGGGTACCACGTTCAGCTACTTTACCCTAAAATAAAGCAAAAACAAATGAAACATAGAGAAAGGTCATACAACTAGCAAAATAACTGAAAATACATAATATTTTCTAACTAAAGATCACATCTTTATCTATTCAGCTATTGATGGACACCTAGGTTGCTTCCATATTTTAGCTATTGTAAATATTGCTAAATGAACTCAGGGATGCATATATCTTTTCAAATTAGTATTTGTTTTCCTTGGATAAAAATGTAGAAGTGAAATTGCTGATTTGTATGATGGTTCTATTTTTAACTTTGAGAAATATCAATACTGTTTTCTATTATAGTGGCTGCAACAATTTATAATCACACCAACAGTGCAGAAGGGTTACCTTTTTTCCAAATCCTTGCTGGCACTTGCTAATTGACTTTTTGATAATACCCATTTTGACAGGTGTGAGGTGATATCTCATTGTGGTTTTTATTTGCATCTCCCTAATCATTAGTGATGTTGAGCATGTTTTGATGTCTGTTGACCATCTGTACATCTTCTCTGGAGAAATATTCCGTGCCCTCTATTTTTTTATTGGATTATTTTTGCTATGGAGTTGTATAAGCTCCTTATATATTTTGAATATCAACTTCTAATGGGATATATCATTTGCAAATATCTTTTCCCATTTAGTAGGTTACCTTTTCGTCTTGTTGATGGTTTCTTTCACTGTGCAGAGGCTTTTTAGTTTGATGAAACCCCATTTGTTCATTTTTGCTTTTGTTTCTCTTGCTCGAGGGGACATATCTAAAAAGATATGCTATAAATGATGTCAAATAGTTTATTACTTATGTTTCATTCCAAAAGTTTTATGGTTTCAGGTCTTACATAAGTCTTTAATCCATTCTGAGTTTAATTTTGTATGTGGTATAAGAGAGGGATCCAGTTTCATTTTTTTGCATGTATCTATCTAGTTTTCCCAACACTACTTATTGAAGAGACTCTCATTTCTCCATTGTATATTCATGTCCGTTTGTCGAATATTAATTGACTATATAAGTGAGGATTTATTTGCAGGTTCTATTCTGTCCCATTGATGTGTCTGCTTTTGGGCCAGTGCCAAACTGTTTTGTTTAAGATGATTTTATAATATAGTTTGAAACCAGGGAGCATGATACCTCCAACTTTGTTCTTCTTTCTCAAGATTGCATTGACTATTTGGGGTTTTTAGTAATTCCATTTAATTGTCCTGGTTCTGAAAAGAATGCCATTAGTATTTTAATAAGGATAGCAATGAATCAGTAAATTGCTTTGAGTAGTAAATACATTTTAATGATATGCATGGTGTATCCTCCCGTTTATTTGTGTCCTCTTTGACTTCTTTCTTCAGTATCTTACAGTTTTCAGAGTATAGATCTTTCACCTGGTTTAAATTTATTTCTAGGTATATTATTCTTTTTACTGCAATTGTAAATGTGATTCATTTCTTAATTTCTCCTTCTGATCATCTGTTATTAGTGTATAAAATTATGAGATTCCTATATATTAATTTTGTATCCTGATACTTGACTGAATTCACTTATTAATTCCATTAGTATTTTATAGTCTTTAGGGTTCTCTAAACATAGTATCACAGACTCTACAAAAGAAAACTGTCACATATGTTTTAATAATCCAATCTTAAAACATATGTGACAGTTTTAGTTCTTACTTGCCAATTTTGATGCCCTTTGTTTCTTTTTCTTGTGTAACTGTTGTGGACAAGATTTCCAATACTATGTTGATCCTGGACTTTTGTTTGATGAAAGTTTTTCCATTATTACATCAATTTCCTTGCTCGTTATCAGTCTGTTCAGATTTTGCTTATTCATGGTTCTATCTTAAAAGGTTGTATGTTTCTAGAAATTTATTTCTAGTTTGTGCAATTTGCTGGCATATTACTTATTGTATTTATAGTATTTTTAAAACAATCCTTTGTATTTCTGTGGTGTTGGTTGTAACCTACCCTCTTTCATTTCTGATTTATTTGGGTTCTTTGTTTCTTGATGAGGATGGTTAAAGCTTTATCATTTTTGTTCATCCTTTAAAGAACCATCTCCTAGTTTCATAGATCATTTCTATTACTTGTTAGTATCTAATTCATTTATTTCTGCTCTAATCTATATTATTTACTTCCTTCTACTTACTTAGGGTTTTGATTCTTCTTCTTTTTCTAGTTCATAAGTTTAAAGGTAAGATGTTTATTTGAAATCTTTTGTGTTTCCTGAGGTAAGCAGCTATAGCTATAAACCTGTTAGTATTGCTTTTGCTGTATTATAAAAAATTTTCAGAGCAGTATTTTTCTCTTTCATTTGCTTCAAGGTAGTTTTTGTTTTCCCGTTTGATTTCCACTTTGATCCATTGGTTCTTTAGTAGCATGTGGTTTAGTCTCTATGTGATTGTATTCTTTCTAGTTTTCATCTTGTAGTTGATTTCTAGTTTCAAACTGTTTAGATTGGAAAAGATACTTGATATGATTTCAATATTCAACTGTGGAGAATGTTCCATGTATACTTGAGAAGAATGTGTATTCTACAGTTTTTAAATGAAGTGTTCTTTAAATATCTATTAAGTTGATATGATCTAATGTGACATTTAAGACAAATTCTCTATTGATTTTCTATCTGATAAATCTATTGTTGATAGTGGGGTATTAAAGTCCCCTACTATTATTGTATTGCTGTCAATTTCTCTATGTCTGTTATTACTCGCTTTACATATTTAGGTACTCCTATGTTGGATGCATAGATATCAATGATTGTTATATGTTCCTGGATGGACCCCTTTATCATTATATAACAGCTTTTTATCCTTTTACGAACTTTGTTTTCAAGTCTATTTTGTCTGGAGTATTGCTACCCCTGCTTTCTTTTCACTTCTATGTGTACAGAATAGCTTTTTCTATCTCTTTACTTTTAGTCTATGAGTGTCTTTCTATCTGAAATGAGTCTCTTGTAGGCCATATATAGATGGGTCTTGTTTTTTAATCCATTCAGCTACCCTACGTCTTTGATTGGCGCATTTAGGCCCTCTACATTTAAAGTAATTATTAATAGGTATGTGCTTATTGCCATTTCTTGTTTTTTGGTTGTTTTGTAATTCTTCTGTTCCTTTAATCTCCTGGTCTCTTTCCATTAAATTTACTAGTTTTCTTTGGGGGGAGGAGGAGGATTTATTCCTTTCTATTTATTTTTTGTGTATTTTTTCTAGGTTTTTGGTCTGAGGTTACCATGAGATGCATACATATACGTCTATATCTATAGCACACTATTATAAGCTGATAGGCCTTTAAGTTCAAACACATCCTAAAAGCACCAGCATTTTACTCACCACTCCATGTATGTTTGTGATGTCATATTGTATATCTCTTTATTTTCTGTATCATCTAATTACTTATTGTAGTTATAGTTAATCTTGCTATTTTTGTCTTTTAACTTTCATATTAGTGTTTTAAGTGGCTGATTCACTGTTAATTCTCTATTTGCTTTTACATATCTGCTTTTTTTTCTTTCCTAAAGTTTCTTATTTCTGGTTATGGTCTTTTGTGCACAAAGACCTCTTAAGATAACCTGTAAAACAGGTTTAGGTGATAAACTCCTTTACTTTTGCTTGTCTGGAAAAATCTCTCCTCCAATTATGAATAATAACTTTTGTGCCTCTAGCACAGCTTGGATGGGGATGTAAATTGAGTAGGGCGGGGTCTCAGGGAATCACCAGGGCGGAGCAAACAGCAATGGCATCTCCGCGACTCCTCGCCTCTCCGTGACTCCGGGTCTCCGTCCCTGAGTGCCTGCAAGCAGCTCCGCGAGAATGCCACCTTCGCTTTCTGACCCGCTGCAAGGCTGTCCCACCTCTCCCCGTAGGGGTCTGGGACCTCAGAATCCCGCGCCAAACAAGCTCAGTGGATTCGAGAATTTGTAACCCCTTCCGATTGAAAAAAACCGCGCATCCAGTTGCAGCCCGCCTGGCGCGCGCCTCCGTACCTCTGTTCTTGGTGCCTCTGCAGATCCTACTCAGTCTCAATGCTCTTCTTTCTTTCCTTCCAGTTGTAGAACTTCCACTGGGCCAGCTTTCCCATGGTTCTGAATGATAGCTGTTTTGTCTTATAGTTGGTAGTTTCAATGTTGTTGTGGGAGGCAGCACGCACAGGTCTGTACCTTACGCCGCCATCTTGGTTCTCCCATGAACAATAACTTTGCTGGGTACAGTATTTCCAGGTTGTAAGTTCTCTTCTTTCAGCAATTTAACCATTTCCTGACATTCCCTTCTGGCCTGTAAAGTTACTGCTAAGAAATCAGCTGATATAAACTTACGGGGTTTCCCTTGTATGTGAATTGTTTTCCTCTTGCTGCTTTCAAGACTCTCTTTATCCTTACCTTCTGCCACTTTAATTACAATATGTCTTGGTGTGGGCCTCTTTGGGTTCATCTTGTTTGAAACTGTGCTTCTGGGACCTGAATGTTTGTTTTGTTTCCTTTGTCAGATTAGAAATGTTCTCAGCCATTATTTCTTCAAATATACTTTCTGCCCCTTTCTCTCTCTTCTTCTGGTATCCCCATAATGTGTGTATCCCTAGTGTGCTTGATGTTCCAAAGGCCCCTTATACTATCCTTGTTTTTGAAAATGCTTTTTTCTTTTCACTATCCTGATTGGTGAATTTTGACTATTCTGTCTCCAGATCACTACTCTGTTCTTCTGTATGAAATCTACTGTTGATTCCTTCTAATGTGTTTTCCCATTTCAGTTACTGCATTCTTTATCTTTGGCTTTTTATTATATTTTCTAACTCTCTTCTTTCTTTCTGAGTTTCCCTATCATACTCTCAAGTTTGTTGAGCATCCTTGTAGTCATTTATTTGAATTCTTTATAATGGGAATTACTTATCTCCATTTCATTAGGAAATTTTTCTGGATTTTGCTCTTGTTCCTTCATTTGGAGCATATTACTCTCTTATTTTGACTTTCTCTAGTTGTTCCTATAATATAGATGTGATAGGTATCTCTCCTAATCGTGAAAAAGTGGTCTGTGTAGAAGTGGCCTTTATGTAGACTGGGTGCCAGTTGGTTTATGTAAGCTGGTTCAAATCAGGACTGGAGTATGTGGCACCTCGGTTGTAGCCTGGCCACAAAGAGTAGGTTAGGGGAAGGACAGCCTGGTATGCACACATCTGTGGTAGCTCCCTGTTGTTCCAGCTCTTTGCCTATGGAACAGTCATAGCAGGGCAGCCCTGTGAGAACACACAGCAGTGGCCTAATGCGTATAGCGCTATAACCTGTTGGACCCACTGAATCAAGCTCCAGCTGGCCTTAGGCGTCAGTTGGAGCACATGGATAGAGTTCCTGCCTGCATTATCCAAGTGGAGGGATATGAAAACAACGTCAGTCACAGATTCCTCCTATCCTGGAGAGTCCTCAGATCCCAGAAAGGTCTCACAGTTTCTCAGCCTTCTCTATGAAATCTCTCATTTGTTGTGCAGAAGCTATTTAATCAACCTTTTTTTTTTTACTTGTCTAAGAAGCCTTCCTTTATTATCCACTGATAATTGTGCATTAAAAAGCTGACTTGGGAGTGGCCTTTTCAACTGTTGGGTTTCACGGAAGAATGATCACATGGGTAGCTGGTCCTTTTGTTGGGGTCCTCAAATTCAAATATCTCTTTTTCTGAGGCTACCTTTTTTTTCTCCAGAGAAGAATTTTCCAATTATCTGATGATGAGGGAAGGAGTGATGATAGCAGAAATAAACAACTGGTTGGCAAGGTTCTTGGAGCCAGTGGCACAAGACAGTCTGTGGTCTTGTTTTTTTGGTATGTTTTGATTCCCACTTAATCTAGCCCCTCATTGTTAAATAGTTTGGTAACTTTAATGTGTCCAGAGCCTCTCTGACTCAATTTCCTGACAAGTAAAAATCTAGCCTCCTGCCAAGGCTGGGAAGGGGTAATCACTAGGCTGTACAGGGTGAGGAAGGGTCTTAGGAATGCTATTCTTTTTCTTTTTTTTGTTAATCCTCACCTGAGGATATATTTTCCATTGATTTTTTTTTTTAGAGAGAGTGGGAGGGACTGAGGAGAGAGAACATTGATGTGAGAGACACTTCCATTGGTTGCCTCCTGAACCTGCAACCCAGGCACCTGCCCTTGACTAGGAATCGAACCCTTGAACCTTTGGTGAACAGGCCAATGCTCTAACCACTGAGCAAACAGTGGGAATGCTATTTCTCATGTAGACGCAACATTAATATTATAAGAGACTGCTGACAGAATGAGGTCACAGTAGTTTCACTAGAAAATAAAAATCTCTGATCTTCAAGATCATGCAATTACAGAACCATCAAATTATGAACCCAAAGAGATTTTATATACAAGTGCCATAATCATTAATAAGTTATTTCCAATTATAATCCAAACTCCAAAGGGCAATGTTGTAATATAACTGTATAAATACTGTGAACCCCATGTCATGAGGCAGGTAAGCACATGCCTGCTAAAGTACTAACATTTTATAAAAAAAAGGCTTTATTTGCATAACTGCATAAAATTGGAAAGTTTAGTAAAAAAAAAAGCACAAAACAGCAGATTTTATTTCATATTCTTGAACATCAATGAGATAATGAAGTATATCCACAAAATTTCCCATTTAAGATATTCTGGTTGAATCACAATGGGAAAAAATCACTTTATTTTCTAATGAATGAACACAGTGATGAACAAATAAATAAAAAGACCTAGGGTCTCCAATACACAGGTAACTTATAAAGGGAATAATATACGTATACACCATAGAACATCCTATACAACATTTAGTGGCATGAAAAATTCTATCTCAGTAACTTAATATGGAAAGTATATGAGAATGTTTCTTCTCCCTTAACTTCCAGTACTCGGGCTTTCAAAAATGATAAAGAATTGAAGGTTCATTTATTAGGAGGGAAAGATAATCAAGGAAAATGCTGAATGAAAGGTGAAAAACTTATTAATGTTAGATAATGTACCAGGGGTGGGGAGAAGTCCTTATAGAAAGTAGAAAAGAAAAACTATTACAATTTTCAAATCCACCAATCACAATAGTAATACTTTGATTCGTTTAGGACATTTAGTGCACTTTTATATTAATTCCCACAGAAGAGAGAAAGTGGGTTGTCCATTTTACTATTTTCCCCATTAGAAAAACTATTAGAGAAACGATTTCATTTACTTGTGTTTGTTAAAATTCCCAATGTTCTTCAAATACTAAATTTTAAAGTTAAATCTCTTACCTTGTCCAAGACTATGATTTCATCTGCATCAACTACTGTTGATAATCTGTGTGCAATGAAAATAGAAGTTCTGTGTTTGACTGCATCCCTCATGGCACCAAGAATTGTCTGTAAGTTTGGCAACAAAAGAGTAAGAGGGAAAAAAAGATCTATCTATTAGGTAAATTAAAATAATCATACATTCCTTAAAAGAAACATATGAAATGTCAATTAATTTTATATTACATAAACTTTATACCACTACCAAATATTTGACCTAATCTAATAATAACTAAGGAGAAAATCAATCAAAAAGGGGAGGTAAATATGACCACATTATCATGGAAAAAATTACCTTTAAGAAAAGCAACATTTCTGTAAATTTTAGTCTGGGAGAAGGTGGATATTTTCTATACTTAAAAACAAACAAACCATAATGATGAATACAGTGACATTAGGAGCATAGCCAGATATGATGTTTATTTGGTCAATGAGAGCAAAAATGAAATAAGGAGGGACTCAAGTGATAAGATGCAGAGAAATTTAAAAAAAAAGATCAAGAGAAAAATATGAGACTCAATGGGGACATGAGCATTTGCATTTCCTTCAAACTTAGAGGACAGAAAGGACACAGAAAACTGTGCATGTATAACTTGAGGAAACTTATTTTTAAAACAATTCTGACTACTTAATGCATTCTGGAGAACACATTTTTCTTTACAGCCTGTAAAGTGTATATATATATATACTTTAAACACACACACACACACACACACACACACACACACACACAGCTATATTTGGAAACCTGGGTCTAAATACAGCTAGCTAAATGGAAATAGGCATGTGGGAGATGGGGATATACCAAATGTCTTCCTACAGATATTTCTAAACATTGTATTTATTAAAGAAATAAAATTATCAAGAGCACATGGTTATCCAGGAAAAGAAGACCTTATATTTTACTACTGCAGACTGAAAAGGAAGTGCAGGACCAATTCTAAGAAAAATTGTGATGTTTGTGGGGACTCCACTTCCTAATCCTCAAGAAATTAAACTCTGACGTGCTCTATGGACCTATTAAAAAGGACCATTAAAATTTACCAAATCTGTTGGTAACTCATTCCCTTGGGGAGGTGTCTCTGCTACCTCTTAATGAGTTATGCTACATAAGATGATAAAGCTACGTGGCTCAAATAATGACTGTTGAGACTCTTAATTTGTAATAAACATGGAGGAAATTTTTTAGGTATAAAGTTTTTATAAACAGACTCATGGCCTGTGGGGTCCCTTGGCTGGCCTGTGGGGATCAGTGGACCTCCGTGCCACTGCAGCCTGGCTTTACCCGCCAGGGCTCCAGCCTGCTGTCCGCGTTGATCCTGCACAGCACGAAGTAGTGCGGGAAGCGGCAGGAGGCTAGAGAGGAGCCCGATCCCGGGCTGGGCACCGCTTAGGTGCACAGGGGGAGTGTCCGCAGAAGAGGCTCACGCTGCCGCCACAGCTGTGCTTGCTACCCGTGAGCCCGGGGTGTAGCGCCCATCTATCAGCTGAGTGGCACTCCCGCTGTGAGAGTGCACTGACCACCAGGGGGCATATCCTGTGTTGAGTGCCTGCCCCCTGGTGGTCAGTGCGCATCATAGCTACTGGCCGGTCGTCCAGTTGTCCAGTCGCTTAGGCTTTTATATATATAGATTCCTACTCTGCCTATGAATGGGGTCTGTCCTGTTTAAGGTTCCCTTCAAATGTAACAAATCCTGATACTAAACAATTCACTTAGAAATTAAACTGTTTTAAGCACATGACAAATCAAATAATGTGCCCTGAATCTTAACTCCCTTATGCAAAAATTATGTCATACATGCTGTAAAACTGAAATTAGGCCTATCCTTCAACACTAGGTTTTAACTATATATTCAAGTAAATATGGGTGAAAGGAAACAACTGATAAATAACATCTAGCTATCTTCAATGTAGACTAAGGAAATTTATTCATGAAATTGTCATTGTTATTAAGACTTTGTATTTAATACAAGGATGTTGTTATGAAGTCTAATGTAGTTGATGGGTAATAATACCATGACATCAGTTTCATAATACTTGTTGTGGAAATAAATATAAATCGATACCAGCACCACAGGCTGTGTGTGCCTGTTTGCACTTCAGTGAGTTGCTCCATGACAAGTGAAAGGCTTTCTGGTGTATACTGTATCACAATCATTTACATGACTTGTTTTAATGAGTGTTAAGTGGTAATAGCAGAAAGACTAAAATCTTCTTCCTTTGCCAGCAGACTAGAGAATTTTGACAGCTTTGTAAAAATGCAAGGGCAATGCAACAAGAGCATAAGGTATCATACAGTTCCAAAAGAAGGCATACTTGCAAATGAACTGAACAATGTGATCTTTCAATGCAGTCTGGCATTCTTACTATCAACAATTGTTATCTGGGAAAAAATGGCTAAGTATTTTGCTCTATAGCACCTCCCATTGAAGTTCACTCAAAATACAAAAGAATATAGCTTTTATTAAAATTTCCAAGGAGAAAATTTAAGCATTGATAATTGAAGAGTTTTATATTTTCACTAACATTTACCTCTTCAGTAATTGAATCTAATGATGAAGTGGCTTCATCATAGAGAATAACTTGAGGGTCCTTCAAAATGGCTCTTGCAATTGCTACTCTTTGTTTTTCTCCCCCTGGTTAAAAAAAAAATTAGTTTAAGGAAGCATAGCATAAAGACATATTTTATGTTTCTAGTATTTGCATAGAATATAACCATCAAATAAAATACCTTCAACATTTACCTGCTCAGTTATAAGAGTTTAAGTTTATACATGACATCCTTTGACAAACTACATTCCTTGGAACATAAATGTAGTTTTTGATTCTGACTTCATGGCAAGTGAAACAATGAAGAGGGGAAGTAAAAACTTTGATTCCAAATTATTCCTCAAACCAGAAATATTCTCATTACATGTTACTTTATATGTACTTTATATCACTTCCCCAGAAACAGCAATCTCAGATAGAAAAATGTCACTATTAGAGAACTGAAAAAGCCAAAAACAAATTCAATACCTGAAACCTGAAGACATAAAACAATTTATCTCTTAACATTAAAAGGTATCATTCAGCCAGTATTCTCAATGATTTTTTGTCATAAAGCTATTATTTTTGTAGCACTCTTCAAAATTAAGGGTATATACTAGATACCTCTTATTTTGCCTTATTTACTATTGGGTTCTTAGCATTTAAGAATTTTAAAACAGCCCTAGCTGGTCTGGCTCAGTGGATGGAGCTCGGCCTGTGGACTGAAGGGTCCCAAGTTGGATTCCAGCCAAGACATGTGCCTGGGTTTCGGGCTCGATCTCCCCCAGTGGGGGGCGGGCAGGAGGCAGCCAATCAGTGGTTCTCTCTCATCATTGATGTTTCTATCTCTCTATCCCTCTCCCTTCCTCTCTGAAATCAATATATATATTTATATATATAAAACAAACAGTTTTGGGTGGTAAACACAATGCAATATACAGATGATGTATCATAAGAGTTGTATACTTGAAACCTATATAATTATATTAACTAATGTCACCCCCCAAAAAAGGACTTACTTTACCCAAAACAAACAAACAAAACAGATGCCCAGAAAAGTTAAGTGATTTGTTCAAGGTCACAGAGGAAAGACTTAGTTGAATCCAGATTAGACCTAATTGATGCATAGTCTAATGCTCTTCCTATCACAAGGTGCAAGTGCACTTTTATTTCTAAACTAGAGGCCCGATGCATGAATTTTGTGCACTGGAGGGAGGGGGGTGGTGTCCCTTAGCCTGGCCTGCATCCTCTTGCAGTCCGGGACCCCTCGGAGGACGTTGGCCTGTGTCCTTTCGCAGTCCAGGACCCCTCAGGGGATGTCCGCCTGCTCGCTGCTCCTTACCACTTGGCTCGCTGCTCCTTAGTGCTGCTGTGAGCCTGACTTCTGGCTGAGTGGCACTCCCCCTGTGGGAGCACACTGACCACCATGGGCAAGCTCCTGCGTTAAGCGTCTTTCCTCTGGTGGTCAGTGCACATCATAGCAACAGGTCGTTCTGGTCATTCCGCCATAACGGTTGCTTAAGCTTTTATTATATAGTTCCGCCATAACAGTTGCTTAGGCTTTTATTATATAGGTATGCTCTAGGGAAAATAAAGCAATATTTCTTTCTTTACTGGGGTTCCTGTAGGTCTATGGTCATCATCAGTCGTCCATAGAACTATGGTTGGAAGTACAAGTACCCTTGTTTATTGCACTTTGCATCATTGCACTTCACAGATACTTTTTTTTTTTTTTTAACAAATTGAAGGTTTGTGGCAACCATGCATCAAGCAAATCTATTGGTGCTATTTTTCCAATAGCATTTGTTCACTTTGTATCTCTGCGTTACATTGTGGTAATGCTCACAATGTCCAACATTATTATTATAACTAGAGGCCCGGTGCATGAAAATTCGTGCATTGGAGGCGGGGGCAGCCTGGCCTGCCCCCTCTCACAGTCTGGGAGCCCTCAGGGGATGTCCTACTGACGGCTTAGGCCCGCTCCCCTTCGGGGGAGCGGGCCTAAGCCAAAACCTGGCCTCCCTCTGCAGGAGGCCACCAGGCTGATCAGGGGAAGGCACCGCCTCCATCACCCCACTGCTGCTGCCACTGCCGGCCATGGTGGCTGCAAGGCCTAAGCCCCGGGCCTCGCAGCTGCTGGGGCTCACAGATGCCTGAGCCCCAGGCCTCGCATCCACTGGGGCTCACAGCTGCCTGAGACCACGGCCGCCTGAGCCCCAGGCCTCGCAGCCGCCAGAGCTCATGGCTGCCAGAGACCATGGCTGCCTGAGCCCCAGGCCTCGCAGCCACCGGGGATCATGGCTGCTTGAGCCCTGGGCCTTGCAACTGCCTGAGCCCAAGGCTGCCGTGAGCCCACAGCTGCTGATAGCCCCGGGCCTCGCAGCTGCTGGGGCTCACAGATGTCTGAGCCCCAGGCCTCGCAGCCGCTGTGACTTTGTCCGGATGGACGTCCTCCCTAATTAGCATATTACCCTTTTATTATATAGGATAGAGGCCTGGTGCACAGGTTGGGGCTGGCTGGTTTGCCCTGAAGGGTGTCCCGGATCAGGGTGGGGGTCCCGCTGGGGTGCCTGGCCAGCCTTGGTGAGGGGCTGATGGCTGTTTGTAGGCTGGCCACAGCCCCTTCAGGGTGGGGGTCCCCACTGGGGTGCCTGGCCAGCCTTGGTGAGGGGCTGATGGCTGTTTGTAGGCTGGCCACAGCCCCTTCAGGGTGGGGGTCCCCACTGGGGTGCCTGGCCAGCCTTGGTGAGGGGCTGATGGCTGTTTGTAGGCTGGCCACAGCCCCTTCAGGGTGGGGGTCCCCACTGGGGTGCCTGGCCAGCCTTGGTGAGGGGCTGATGGCTGTTTGTAGGCTGGCCACAGCCCCTTCAGGGTGGGGGTCCCCACTGGGGTGCCTGGCCAGCCTTGGTGAGGGGCTGATGGCTGTTTGTAGGCTGGCCACAGCCCCTTCAGGGTGGGGGTCCCCACTGGGGTGCCTGGCCAGCCTTGGTGAGGGGCTGATGGCTGTTTGTAGGCTGGCCACAGCCCCTTCAGGGTGGGGGTCCCCACTGGGGTGCCTGGCCAGCCTTGGTGAGGGGCTGATGGCTGTTTGTAGGCTGGCCACAGCCCCTTCAGGGTGGGGGTCCCCACTGGGGTGCCTGGCCAGCCTTGGTGAGGGGCTGATGGCTGTTTGTAGGCTGGCCACAGCCCCTTCAGGGTGGGGGTCCCCACTGGGGTGCCTGGCCAGCCTTGGTGAGGGGCTGATGGCTGTTTGTAGGCTGGCCACAGCCCCTTCAGGGTGGGGGTCCCCACTGGGGTGCCTGGCCAGCCTGGGTGAGGGGCTGAGGGCTGTTTTCAGGCTGGCCATGCCCGCAGGCTGGAAGTAGGTATCTGGGATTTATTTAACTTCTATAATTGAAACTTTGTAGCATTGGTCTAGCTCGAAGCCTGGGTTGCCCTTGGCAACCCTAGCTCCCAGCCCCTCCTTGAGCGGAGGCCACACTGGCTGGAAGCAGGTATCTGGGGTTTATTTATCTTCTATAATTCAAACTTTGTAGCCTTGAGTGGAACCCAGGGCCAGCAGGGCAGGTGGGAAGCTTGGCTTCCTCCATCGACAGGGCAACCCAAGCCTCCTGCTCGCTCCAGCTCCGTGGCCGCCGCCATCTTTGTGACGGAATGAGGGAGTGATGGTTAATTTGCATATTACTCTTTTATTACATAGGATTATATTGTTTGTGTTGATCTCTGATTAGTGATCTTTGTTGTTATTATTATAATTGTTTTGGGGCACCATGAACTATGCCCATATCAGGCAGTGAATTTAATAAAAAATGTGTGTGTTCTGACTGTTGCATTAATCTGTTTGCCTGTCTCTCTCCCTCTCCTTGGACCTCTCTGTTCCCTAAGACATTAACAATATTGAAATTAGGTCAATTAATAACTCTATAATGGCCTTTCCAGTGAAAGGAAGGTTGCACACCTCTCACTTTAAATGAAAAGCCAGCATTTATTAAGCTCAGTGAGGAAGGCATGTTAAAGCTGAGACAAGCTGAAATCTAGATTGTGCCAAACAGCCAAATTGTGAATGAAAAGGGAAAGTTCTTGTAGAATATTAAAAGTTCTATACCAGTGAACATTATCAATAATAAGAAAATGAAACAATCTTATTGCTAATATGATTAAAAGTTTTAGTGGTCTGTATAGAAAAATCAAATAAACCATGACATTTCCTTAAGCTGAAGCCTAATCCAGAGCAAAGTCCTAACTCTCTTCAAGTCTATATAAAGGCTTAGAGAGGTGAGAAAGCTGCAGAACAAAAGTATGAAGCCAGGAGAGTTTGGTTCATGAGATTTAAGGAAAGAAGCCAACTCCATAACATAAAAATGCAAGGTAAAAGCAAGTGCTGATGTAGAAGCTGCAGCAACTTATCCAGAAGATCTAGCTAGGAACATTTATAAAGGTGGCTACACTAAACAACAGGTTTTCAATGTATCTGAAACAGTTATATAGTGGAAGAAGCCGTCTAGGACTCTCATAGCTAGAGAGGAGAAGTCAGTGCCTGGCTTCAAAGCTTCAAAGGACAGGCTGAGACTCCTATTAGGGGCTAATGCAGCTGGTGATTTTAAGTTGAAGCCAATGCTCATTTACCATCTGCAAATCCTAAGGCCCTTAAGAACTATGCTAAACCTACTCTGCTGTGTTCTACAAATGGAACAAAGCCAGGCTGACAGTATACATGTTTACAACATGATTTACTGAATATTGTAAGCTCTCTTTTGAGACCTATTCCACAGGGAAAAAAAAGATTTCTTTCAAAAATACTGCTCACTGACAATGCACCTGGTTACCCAAGAGCTCTGATGGAGATTTACAATGAGATTAATGTTGTTTTCATGCCAGCTAACACAATATCCTTTGTGCAGACCATGGATCAAAGAGTAATTTTGAGTCTCAAGTCTTATTATTTAAGAAATACATTTAGTAAGGATATAGCTGCCATAGATAGTGATTCCTCTGAAGGATCTGGGCAAAGTGAATTGAAAAGCTTCTGGAAAGAATTCACCATTCTAGATGCCATTAAGAACATTCATCATTCATGGGAAGAGGTCAAAATATCAACATTAACAGG